AGAAGAAAATTATTAGGAAAAGAAAAAAAGGGTGAGAGTACAGTTACAATAAAACGGGAACAAGAGATCCAATGCTAATATCATGAGTTGTATGATGAAAACATAAAAATAATTCAGAAAATAGTTGCTAATAAACATTAGCAAATAAACTAACTTTGCCTTAGTTCCTATAAAAAGTAATAAAGAAGATTTAGGAAGCTTATCAACAGGCAACATTAACTGCCAAGTTCGATAAGCCTTTTCCTAAGAAGTATTATGTTGTAAAGGTCATCAATAACTGGTTTTCGGAATTACATGTATTGATAAAAAGGAAAATCTGCACACTTAATTCACAGAAGCGGAAAAAATATTCCTGAACACATTAAAAATTCCCATGTAGTTGGAAGTGGATGTTGTGTATGCCTCGATAGATAATATGAAAACAAAGATTAATAAGTAGGACACAAAACAAAAACCAGAGGGGAAAAGGTTGATTCACAGGCGGGGCGTTATTATAAATAAGAGATGAGTAACAATAAAAATGCATGGTAAAGTAAATTAACACTTAAACATGATGACGTGAAAGGCGTGCAATCATTTTCTATTTCAAATTACTTGCTGATGAAACTGAGTCAAAAAAAGGCATATATTCTGAAACGTTTACTACCAAGTAAAGCAAAATACATAATACATACATACATGTAGTAACCAATACAAAAATATAAAGAAAAAGGGAATTCCTAAAGAAGACCTAATTAACGGCAAAAGTGAAAATGTTGCACGCTCAGTTTGGTTGAGCCTGTTCAAGAAATAATGAAAAGAAGAAACTTATGCTTGAATTTTCAAATGAGGTAAACAAAGTTTCAAATGAGGTAAACACGAACTGGGAAATATTTAACATCATATCAAGTTAAAAGGAGAAGAATTGAAATAAAAATCTGTCAAGAATATCAACTCTCAAATTTGTAAACGCACCTAATTCCATAAACTGACAAGAAAGATAAATATGAAAAAGTTGTCCAAAGCCAATGCCATCCTATCAGATTATCAACCATTTTACCGTGATATACCTCATTAAAATATTGTCTCAGGGGTCCACCAGTGCCAAAACGAATGGAGTGTCTCTAATTAAAATGCGTTATAAAAGAATACGCGTATGTACATAACAATACATAAACCTACTCTGATTTGTGAGCTGTAAATATACAATACTTTCAATGATTTTTACTGGTTTCTTTTTATCCAACGGGAGAATATGTTTGATCTAGTACTAAAGTCATAGGAATATAAGCATTGAAAATTTTATAAGTGCTTTGATAAATTATTTTATTTCTTCAAAAACTAAATGCTTGCTATGGTTGGTATGATTGGTATACAGACAGGCTTGTATTGCAGGCAGCTTGGAATGCATGAAGGTAGGATGGGTTGCAGGTGGGTGGTAGTAGAGTAGGGAGGAAGGTAGGTAGGTGGGTATCTCGGGCGAAGTTTGTGCTTTCTAGTGAAAGATGACTGTTTGTAATTGATAAATGACACAGAATCCAAGGAAAGAGGTGACTATCCACTAGCATATGTCTTAATTATTGTTAAGCATATATTAAAACAAGTTAAAAAATATCATTCACATATTTTAAGCATAAACTCGGCGTCGAGAAGTGGTCAATTTTGAATAAATATGAAATAATCATTATTCGATAAATTAAAGGGAGATACAGGCAAAATTTTCATTTCTTCATTTCGAAGTTTTCATTCATTATTCTGTAAATTTCCTCAATATGAATACACTAGGCAGTCACAGGAACAAATCTTCTCTCATTATAATGTATTAAATGATGGTTTTCTAACCTGAACACGTGGGTCAGGTTAGAGCGTTAAGATTTCACAATAGTTGTCACAGTGAACTTTGGATGGCAAATGAATGACTTAGACTTGTTTCAATCATACAATATCCACAATATCTGTTTTTGCAACTTCCAGGGAGTGTTCAAGTCAAAAAACTTGTTTTAAATATAGTCAGTGATTCTTTCGGCTTCTAAATTTCGTTCAACATATATAGATATATTTACCCTTCAAACCGAAAATAAATAGAGTCTAATACAGAAATTCATGTTGGGATTTTAAAAATGTCATTTTAGCGTGATTTGAAATCATAAGATCATTTTAATATTTTTGTCATTAATTTGCCTGAGTATCCCTAAATGAAACGTCGTCTGCTCAATTTTCTTGTCATTTTGATAACGACCTTGATCGCTCAATATATTACAAATAATCTAAAACAGACGATATTCCTCCTATAATTTTACATCAAGGGAGAAAATTACACACTTGTCATATTAACTAAAATATACCATAGTTGTTTACCTTAGATATTTTAACTTATTTGTGTAAATCATATAAACATTAACCAATATGTTTGAACATAATACCATAACCCGCCATGCATTTATGTTTTAATCCAAAAGGATCTGTACATACAATACTGATTATTGTCATGACAAAAATAAAAATAGGAAGTCCTGAAGATGAATATATTTGAACCAAAGTAAATGCACTAATAGTTTATTGCTCAATAACCTTGTTGAAAATTGAGAAAAAAAACTCCATAGAGTAAGAACTGACGTAATTTGTACACAGGTATTGTTTTCTAAATCGATATTCGATCTTGATCTTGCTATCTTAACAGATAGACTTTAAGAAAATACTTATTTATATATTTCTTTCTATTGTGCATGGGCTTTCACTACTTAAATGGTTTTAATATTCAATGTCGACGCTAACTTTTCCTAAATGATTACTCAAATGTATTGTAAAAAAATAAAATGTATTGTTTTCAGAGTATCTGACAATTACGAAAGACCGGTAGGGCCATTTCAACTTCATGAATTCTCGATTTCATCTTCATGAATTCACAATTTTAACTTCGTGAATTCTTATTTTCAACATACGGAATTCATTATTAAAGCTTTATGAATTCCCGATTTCAACTTCACGAATTTACGATTTTAACTTCATTAATTTTGAATTCACGATTTCAACTTCACGAATTCAACTTTGTTGATTCACGATTTCAACTTCACGAATTCACGATTTCAATTCCATGTATTCAGCTTCGTGAATTAACGATTTCAAATTCACAAATTCAACTTCATGAATTCACGATTTAAACTTAACGAATTCACGTTTTCGACTTCATGAATTCACGATTTCAACTTCACAAATTCACGAACTTCATAAGTTGAAATCGTGAAGTTAATATCGTGAATTTATAAAGTTGAAATCGATAATCAAAGAATTTGAAAATTATTAATTCGTGAAGTTGAAATCTTGGATCAACAAAGTTGAAAGCATGAATTCGTGAAGTTGAAATCGTGAATTCGTGAAGTTGTAATCGTGAATTCGTGAAGTTAAAATCGTGAATTCGTGAAGTTGAAATTATAAATTCATGAAGTTGAAATCGTGACTTCGTGAAGTTGAAATCGGGAATTCATGAAAATGAAATTGGGAATTCGTGAAGTTGACATGTCCCCACCGGTCTTTCGTAGATAATAGAATATAACCGATTTTCGAAACAATGCCGTTTACCCAAGGCAGCCTGTCGGAAACCTGCCATCATCCAAATCAGCATACGCATTTGCAAATAGTTCCTAATATGCCCTACTTTTATATATTTTTTGTCGTTTTGTTTTTTGATATTCGATGCCAGTGTTTACTACTTTAAAGTAAGTTAGTCTATAATTGAAGGTCAGTATTATCGTAAATGATAATGATGATAGTATTTTGTATTATACGGGACAATAGACCACTAAAGAGTTATATACGGATGTTGTTATAGTATGTGTGGGAAAAATGTTCTGTTCTGTTATTTGATTCCTTATTACATACAATGCATCTATATATGGCAGAAAATAAATAATTTTATAACAAAATATTATTCTTCATCACATAAATATTCAAACATACATTTTAAAAAAAATATTTTAATTGTATTCAAATATCACATTTCTGTTGTTCTTAATTAATTATTTAATTAATTTTATCAATATTTGAGAAATATGGAAAATGTGCCCATAGTATACAATCCAGCTTCAATGCACTGCTTGTCCCCTTTTCATTATGACAAAATTTGACAAGTTTAACTTATGAATAGAATTATATTTTGATAATTATAAGATTCATTATTTTCAATCTCGGCAATTGGTTCAATTAATAAAGACAAAATGTTGTATAATGCTCATCTACAAGCATTTCTCTACTTTGACACCATTGGGTAATTTTTGGTATCAGAATGATCAATGTTCATATTGATTAAGAAGTAATAATTTTCATATTGATAAAGAAGTAATAATTTTCATATTGATTAAGAAGTAATAATTTTCATATTGATAAAGAAGTAATAATTTTCATATTGATTAAGAGGTAATAATTTTCATATTGATAAAGAAGTAATAATTTTCATATTGATTAAGAACTTATACTTTTCATATTGATAAAGAAGTAATAATTTTCATATTGATAAAGAAGTAATAATTTTCATATTGATTAAGAAGTAATAATTTTCATATTGATTAAGAGGTAATAATTTTCATATCGATCAAGAAGTAATCATTTTCATATTGATTAAGAACTTATACTTTTCATATTGATAAAGAAGTAATAATTTTCATATTCATTAAGAACTAATAATTTTCATATTGATTAATAACTAATAATTTTCATATTGATTAATAACTAATAATTTTCATATTGATTAAGAACTAATAATGTTCTTATTGATTATTGATTTATTATTACCCTGTGGATTAAAAAGAAGCGTCTTGTGGTTTTTGTATTCTATTTTTCAATTGAATAAATGCCAACAACTGACTGAATATATATCATTACACGTGTTTGTTAATTGAACGATTCATTCATCTTTTTTACGAATAGTACCAAACAATTAACAATATGTCATTTGTTAAACCGCCTTCAATACATCCAATGCCATACAAATGGGAATGAAAGAATTTCAGGCCTCAAGCTAAGATATTCGTATAAAAATGACATATACAGTTGTTAATGAATGCATGTCATTGAAAACGTTGTATTATTATTATCTGTATAAACCAAGGGTTTTGTGATTAAAATCCCTCATTTTTAAGTATGCTTTTTAGTGAAAGTTTGTTGTGCATGGATATGTTGAAAAGTTTGGTAAGATTTACCCATATTTTATACAATTTACTTTAAGATTTATAAACTTCCGATGTAAAAAAAGGTTCCGTTGAACAGTTTTTTTTACTTACCGTCTGTGTATTTCAAGTTTTAGTATTTGTTTATCTAGATATGTTTTATCTAGATATACCATTTAAGAAATCCAATTGTACATTTTATCTGTTTCCTCCAATGGTGAAAATATTGGGCTTTTTGTTCTATCTGACATAGTTCCCAGATACTGTTCCCATATAAAATGGCCGCTCATAAAGTTAGCCGGGGGACCAGTCTGTTTTTAAATTGATACTTAAATAGCCATTAAAGTCGTCTTTTAGTACGTTTTACAATGTCCGATATTTGATAATATAACTATAGGGTAAACAATCAACAACTAGTTAGAAGTGTATCAAAAAGTTCAACATTTTCACACTGTACCTTCAAAAATAACCAAAAATCAGTTTACTGGGTTATTTGAATTTGTCGCTATATTTTATTTGCAATGTACCAAATTTTATCAATGAAATAATACACCTAGTACTTCCTGCATGCGTATTATGCCCGACTTATGTTCATATTTATGAAAGGGGTTATTTCTATTTGTGATGTAGTTTCGACTTTCATGATTAATATTTACAAAAATAAACAAGTTTTCATTGCAATGATACACCAGATTTTCCATAATTTCAATACAAATGTTTTTGACCCTAATATCAAATATCATATGAATGAAAGCTAATATCATTTTGCATTGAATTATAATGTAATTGTTGGTTTAAACATATTTATTTAAGCTCGATTGCGAAACAAGTTCTTAATCACTTTCGAGTCCGCTTTCTCGAGCCCACCAGTACTCGTTACATATTGAGAAACATGGTCGTGATCCGATTAGGACTCGAACCCATGATTCCTGGGTTGAGAGGCAGACACCTTAACCACTTGGCCATCGCTCCGCTTAATGTAATGAAGCTCGTTCTATGAAAAAAAATCCGTCTTTAAGCTGTACATATATGTTAACCGGAAATCATTAAGAGTTTTGTGCAATGTGCTATTAAAGTAGAACACGCCTTCCTCTGTCCATACAGAGCTGAGATGAAGAACTGCGCCGAACCCTTCATTTTGTAAAGAAAAGCCACCATCTTTTGCCAGTTCATTAAATGTATGTTACTTGCAAAACTATTTAGGAAAAAAAAAGAAAACAGGAAAAGTTAATAAGAACTGAAAACGAAGCGGAAAGAGTTTGCCGCAGCTAATCCCTGCGTTTTTACCCATTATTTCCAAACTCATTATATAGCTAAATAAGGACTTAAGGTTATAAAGTGCAATTGTCATGCCATTTATTTACTTTACTCTTGAAATGCCGTGGGTCTCATGTTAGATGCTTCGGTATAACAGATGCCTATCAAATGTTGGTTCTGCTAGCCTAACTTGTCCGCCTGGTTCGTGGTCATTACCTAACGAATATTATTAAATGGTAAACAAACATTTGCTTCCCGGACAGTTCTGCCCTTGTTTAGTCTCTTATATCATATGTCCGCCCTTCAAAACATACGAGGGTTAAATGCCGCTACTGCAAAGAAAGTGGGGCAAACATCCGGGGGACGGGTAAATTTCATAAAATTGATTAAACTGATAGAACAAACAGGAAAGAAAAACAACGGAAACTGTAAAACAAAAGCATGTTTCTTAAAATAAAATATGCATACTCGTAAACAAATATGTTACTGATCACATAGCGTTAAATGACGCCACATTCTGAATAAATGACGTCAGCTGTTCAAAGCACGATGAACAATCAATCATTATTCTGATTAGAATGAATACACAGCTTGTGTCAGACGTTTAGAAATGGACATTCATATTAACGTATACGTCATTAGAATTAAAAACGTCTGCTGAAATGATGCATTTTTCGTCATAAATCAAAATAATCGTTCTAAAACACGTCATACTAATACCCATATCAAATAGATAGACCAATCAAGTGCATTATTACATGATATATGCACTGCATAACAATGTAAAAAGGAATGCTTACATGTCATTTGACGTCAGATATGACGCCGATTACCTAAATGACGTTTATCGTCTATCATCCTTCGCAATTATATTCCTACGAATTTGAACTCGAACCACGCCTTATTCTACAACAATGCACTTAAAATTGATCTCTATTATCTCAATATAAATGATGTCACGAGTGAACGAGTACAAGTAGAGCCTGACGGCGATAATTTATAAGACGGTATCTACGTGGTGCGACGCTATCATCTGATTGGCGTATCGGAATGATAAAAATAGAACACGCCATCTAGCATTTCATTGAATGGACTGCCAGAAAAAAATGATTGTTGATATGACAGGCGATTTAAATGATTGATTCGCGCAGAATATTTGCTTATATAAAAGTCGAATCTTTTATACACAATATTTAAAATGAACAAAATAGCATTTTCAAAAAAAAAAATATATAATAAAATAAACTCATCGATAATTACTGTTCTTGGACTAGACAAACACTGTACGTTTGAAATAAGAGTTTCTAGCATATTCAGAAGGACTTCCGATCTGAATCTTTGATAAAGAAATTTAGAACGAGAATACACGTGGTCTGTGCTGTCCCCCATCTCCCTGATTACCTGCGGCTTCATTGCGAGAGAGAGCTTTCCGAATATGTAGTTTTTTCTTCCATTTCTTTCCCTTATTTTCCCACATATTGTAAAAGGCATGGAGATCTTCGCCAGTTAGCCATCCTGTTGTATCGTTATCCTCCGTCAGTTTCGATTTCGATGATTTGTGCTTCTTCTTTTCTTTTTTCTTGTCAACAACTTCGTTTAACTCTTGGATTCTCATTTCATGTATTTTAGACAGGTGGTGTAGATCGTGTTTTGAGTATTCTGTCATAACATGTGACATAGAATGTCGGCGTTGGAAAGGATGTGTACTCACTTCTTTGTCCTCTTTTTCGATACTTTCAGAGCTGTCTGAATATACGGGTCGTGGTGTTAACGGATGGAACAAACTGGGTAATGACATTCTACGACCACCCCTTGCACCAACTGGACCACCAAGGGGATTCTCTGATGCTGACTGTGGCCGGTTTTCTATCAGAGATTCGAGCCTTTGTGGTCGTGGTTTTGTCTCAAACTTGATATCGTCAACCTTCTTCTGGTGATCTGGTGATTTTGACCTGATAAAAGGATTTTTATCTTTCGGTTTAAACCGTTCTTCCTTAATTTTATGAAATTTAGCTATAATGTCGGATAATGGTTGTTCTACGTGTTTATTTTTGGTTTCATGTTCCATGTGATGTCCAGTCATAATGTCAAAATGTTTATCTCCATCTCCTACAACTTTATTCATAACGTTGACAGACATTTGATTTGTGTCCGCTATTACCTTCAATAATTACGGGGATCGTATTTTAACGATCTATAGATGTTTTCAAATGTTCAAAAAGGTTTGTCCTTCAATTAAACAATCCTTTCAACACATTATTAAATTGAACACCGACTTTTTTTTATAAACATCCGAATTATTTCCTTTCTAACTGTAATTTGTATGCAACGTTAATAATTATATTTTTGTAATTATTATTATAATACCAGTGTATCACGTTTCGTGAACGCGTTAATTTGAAGTAATTCAGTTACAAATATTTAATATACGTGTTGATTACCCTTGATGAATAGAGTGCCAAGGTTTAACACTTAAATGGTCTTGTTTTATACCAAAATAACATGATATATATATTGGAAACATATCAACTTATCAAATTATGATGTTACAGATGATTAGACCGTATTTGAACTTCTAAAACAATATCTAAACCTTGCTAATGTAAACAAGGTGCGTGATTATATGAAGTGATTGGTGCGAATATATCAACAGTTCGATCAGTGTTTTCAAACTAACATTGGATGAATTTGTTTTCTTGTCCATATCAGAACCAAATACAGACATTGTGCTGTTTTGTTTCAAGCGTGAAAATGTGTTCTTATCTTATTGTTATTGCATTACTTTTTTACGTGCAATAAAAAATAACTATATAAAATATTTTTAAATGTTTTCATGTTGCTGCCACATCCAAACGTGTAGGATATCTGCAAAAGCTCAAGATTGTTAGATAAAATAGCTCTATGACTATATAAGGCGCAGTAATTTAGTTAAGGGAGACAACCGTTTAACGTATTCTTCTCGTGATCTGTTTAATTAATTTGTGTTATAATTTTGCACGTTTATAAATATAAAACAAACATAGTTGATGCTTTATTGTGATAATGAAATTAACATACTGATAAAAAAATTTTTGGTTTATATTCATGTATTATAATTATAAAAATACACAATTAACTAATTCAGATGCAAATTTCCTTCGTAGACCTTTTACTTTTTCTTTGAAATCTGTAAATTCAAATACATGTATATTGTAATCTGAATTCATCAACAATAATCAAATATTTATAACAGTTACTATATATTGTATATATGACCTTTGAAAGAGAGATCTTATCATTTCAACATATATAACGTCATCTAAGTGGAGTAACAGGTTAACTCCTATTAAATCATATAAGGAGTTAGCACATTACTGCACTTATGTGACGATATATAAAGATGTATTAATTAAGAATAGCTGGTGAAAAGCGATAAATGGGAAAACAAATCACTTTTATATCGCTTACATCTGAACTTTTACACCTTATGCTGTATTTTTTGTATTTACTTCTGTAGCAGAAAATGCTGTTTAATGCAGGGTGTTTTTTCAATGGAAGTCATGATTGATATATAGCAGAAATCACTACACAAAGTACATGTACTCACTAATCGGTAATACACAATTATAAAATCTTTAAAAGCTTAAAAAGTAACAAAAATGTACAGCTTTTTTTATACAAGCAGTGTAAATTTGTCAACGTCATTCCAACCCCCGTCAGACTAGGGCGGCGTTCTCATGGTGTCCAAAAAAATTCAGAACGCCGAGTTGAGCGCAGTAAGATCGC